TTCGAGATTCGACAGATGAGAATTGATGTTTAGGCTTAGTTTCAATAGGCGGATTAATTTATAAATGGTTAAGTCGAGATTCGACAGATGAGATTTAATACCGTTAAATTAACTCTGGGATTATAATACGTAGCGAAAGCCCTTTATAATCTGATTAACCAATGCTTGATGATTGCTTATTATGATTTGCCCTGGAATATTGTTTATTAGTGAACCTATGCCCTAGGCCTTTTAATATTTGATTTTCTCCCTACTTTATTCCTTTCGACCTTATTCTCCGTAGTTTAGATTTTATTCACAAAAATATTGGTTACTTAGATAATTTAGACTATAATAATTAATTAGGAATAGAAAGACCTGTTTCCATGTGGAGTTCGACCCTACTTCCCTATCTACTTTAGTTAGAGGATTTAGGTAGTTATTTTTTATTAGGGGATACGACTTTACCCTATCAAAATTTGGCGCCGTTGCCGGGGAAACGGTTCTATTTTTGTTTTCTGATTTTATTTTTGTAGTCTAGATTATCCCCTTTTGCCTCAGAGAACGTTAGTTCTTTGAGGCAATTCTCATATTTGTCTTTTAGTTCTTTGTTTATGCCCAGGTGTTCTAGATCAGGTTACATCCCATTCGACCCTGAGATCGAGCGCTCTTTTCATAGGCAAAGGAAACTCTATAGACAAATTCTGGCGGGTTCTGAGGAGGACAACAGTCGAAGAGATCCTCCCTCTGATTCTAGTGACACAGATATTCCTTCAGATTCAGAATCAGAGATGACGGCCCAGAAGAAACTCAGTGACTACTCGCAACCGAAGCTCATAGATTTCCCGCACCTTACTCCCACTCCGGCTCTAGATGGAGTTCAATTTGAGATCAAGCCCCAATTTATCACTATGATAGAGAGGAAGCAATTCAGTGGAGCTAAGGGTGAAGATCCTAATCTTCACATCGCAGATTTCTGCCAATATTGTAACACCATTAGACAAGCCGGGGTCACGCAAGACCAAATTAGGGAGGTTCTTTTTCCTTTTTCATTATGTGGCAAAGCTAAATTATGGTTTAATGGTTTGAATAGAACTGCACTTGGTATTACTGACTGAGAAACTCTTGCTTTGAATTTCTATAATAAATACTATCCTGCAAAGAGAACAGCGGTGCTAAGGAGTGCTATTCAGAACTTCGCTCAAGAAGCCGACGAAACGTTATATGAGGCTTGGGAGAGGTTCAAGGATCTACAGAGAGAGTGCCCTCACTACAATCTAGCACAATGGCAATTGATCCAAGCATTCTATAATGGACTTGGAAATTCTTCTAGATCAGTGCTAGATTTTGCATCTAGTGGGAGGTTCATGAATTTAAATGTGGACGACGCAGGACAGGTTATCGAAGACATGGAAATACACAATTCCCAATATGGGAATCCGAGAGGGTTCGCAAATAAAGGAAAACATAATGTCGATTCTCTATCCTTTTTGCAAGCTCAATTAACGTCTATTTGTCAAAAATTAGATAATCTTACTGCTGCTCCTAACTCTGTAGCTAATGTTTCTGTTGTTGCTAACAATGAAGCTTTTTGTGAAAATTGTGGAACTGTAGGTCATTGGGAGCAAGATTGTAGGAGCTCTATGGAACAAGTTAATGCCTTTCAAACTTATAGGCAGAATAACCCCTACTCCAATTCCTACAATGCTGGTTATAAAAATCATCCAATCTTTCATACCGGAGCACCAATGTACAAAATCCTCCACCTCCACAGCAATCACAACAGCAAACCCCACCACAGCAAAAATATTATCATCCTAATTCCAGCCAGAAAAGCCAAGCATCACCCTCATCATCTTCCGACCCTGCCATGACAGAAATTAGAGCAATACTTGCCAATATGCAAAAGCACATGGAGAGTAGGGACGCGCAAATTGATTCTATCCTAGCCCATAATAAAATCATGGACAATCAAATTGCACAACTTTCACCTACCCTACAATCCCGTCAGCAGGGAGCTCTACCATCACAACCTATCCATCCTACAGATCATGCCAATGCAATCAGTCTAAGGAGTGGTTCACATTATGATGGACCTCCTATGCCAAAGGAAGATAGACCAGTTCCTGATCTAGATTCCTCTATACCAAACGCTAATCCTGCTAGCCCTGCAGGGCTACAAATAGATACTAACTCTACTAATGTTTCTGTGCAGGGTAAATCGCAGGATAAGGGAGGAGATGTGCAGATCCCGATTATCAAACTTTCATTCCCTAATAGACAACTGAAGAGTAAGTTTGATAAACAATTCGGTAAGTTTTTAGAGGTTGTGAAAAACCTGCAGGTAACAGTTCTTTTTACTGACTTAATCACTCAAGTTCCTACTTATGCTAAATTTATGAAAGACATTCTGACTAGGAAAAGGGCCTTTAATGAAGTAGAAACTGTAGCTTTCACAGAGGAGTGTAGCGCTTTATTGCAAAACAAATCCCCTCCTAAATTAAAGGATCCCGATAGTTTTTCTATCCCTTGTCATATTGGGAATGTTTTTATTGATAAAGCTTTATGTGATTTGGGTGCTAGTGTCAGTGTCATGCCATCGTCTGTCTGCGCTAAACTTAATATGGGAGAATTAAAAGTTACTAATAACTTTGCAAATGGCATATCGTTCGGTAAAATACCCCTTAAGTATTTTAGAGGACGTATCTATTAGAGTTGGTAAATTTTTTATTCCTGTTGATTTTGTTGTTTTAGACATGGCAGAGGACACGCAAATACCCATTATATTAGGTAGGCCTTTTCTCCATACTGCAGGAGCAATCATTGATGTTAAAAATGGTAAACTAACCCTTTCTGTAGGTGACGATAATGTTACTTTCAATTTAGGGAAGGTTTTGAAAGGGCCTATGTTAGAGGAAAATTGTTGCTACATTGATATAATTGATATAATGGATGATATTTGTGATGATAGCTTGCCACAGGTGCTTGCGAGGGATCCCCTAGAGGAAGTTCTCTGCGGGAATTTATCTAGAGACAATGCAAGCGTTTGGGGTAATGAGGTACAAGATATTGAAAAAGCTCTTTCCTTAAAAGAGTTAAGCCCCAAGGAAACAATGAAGGTGGTAAATTTAGTTCAGAAATCAAAACCTGCAGAGGTCAACAAACCTGAGCTAAAACCTCTCCCTTCTCATTTAAAATATATTTTTTTGGATGAACAGGAACTACACCCCGTGATCATCAGTACCGCACTTACTGTCCTACAAACTTCCCAACTTCTAGGGCTTCTCAAAACCCATAAGAAGGCTATTGGGTACATTATTGATGATCTCAAGGGTATTAGCCCTGACTTTTGTATGCACAGGATACATCTAGAGGATTTAGGTAATTTTTTATTAGGGGATACGACTTTACCCTGTCAGCGTTGACGGTGGTGGTGATTGAGGAGGAGGAGAATGATAAATGTATGGGTAGAAGTCATATTTTGGAGGTAGTTTGTGGTAACACTCGTAATAAGTATCCTTTTTCTTTGTCTTCTTGCTTCACCAGAATTTGAGCTTCTTCATTGCTTTCTTCAACTTCATTAAAATGAGATTTCTAATTGTTGTGAGTTGTGTTTTCTTTTAGTTGAAAAATCTAATACTACGTATATAAATGAATATTTAGAGGCTTTTGTTTGAAATATGGAAATGATTATGAATGAATTAAACTTTTCAAGCTTACTTACTGTTGAGCTTTTGAAACTTTTGGTGACCTACGATCCCGTGCACCCACCCAAAAGAGTATTAGTTCGAGCTTTGAGAGTGTGAACGTGAGTATACAAGTCTGGTTTAGTAATTACTGATACTAGAGTGAATCCGTGCTAATGCACAGTATATACGTAGTATGTATATTTACAAAGAAAACAATCGGGAGACGTGGAAGTTATTAAAATAAATTATAAATAAAATAGAAATTATTTATTTGGTGGTTAAAAAAATTTTAAAAAAAAAAAAAAATTGCACAAAATTTGAGAATTGGATTTTGAAGGGCTGTGGTTAACTTACTCTTAAATTGTATAAAAGACTACTAATTAATTATGTTACTAATTAATTATGTATAAAAAGATTACTAATAAACCCCTCTCCCTTTTTTTATAAAAATAAATCACTTCTTTTATTTGAGAAAATAAAAGTTAAATTGGTACGATTCTAATAAGTGGGTTTGCTTAATTTTATATACAAACACCTGTCAAAGTGATGTATGTACCATTGCAAAAGTCAAATTGAAGCACTTATAAAAGTGAAGACAGATATAAGATGTTTTGTTACATATTGTTAAATTAATTATGAATAACTCTTATAAAATAAACTGATTACGAATACCTTCCTTTTTCCTCCTTTCTCTCTCCTCCTTTCTCTCTCCAAAACCCTAGCCTCCATTGTTGAATTTTGAAGGGGCCTCCATCGATTTTAATCGGTGGAAAGCCCTAATCCTTGTTTCTTTATTGTTTTTTTAGGTTTATAATAATACTTCCTCCTTTTGGGAGGAACTTTTCTCCCTCGAAAGAAAGGGTTTCCGATTTCCTTCGAAAGACAAGGGTTTTTTCGACCTCCTTCGAAAGACAAGGTTTATCTCCTCTTTTCGAGGGAGAAATTTCTTAGTTTTGAATTCATGGTAACAGATCTAATGGGTTGTCATGAAATTATTTCGTTGGTGAAAAAGTTATCAAGTTTTCGAATACGAACAGATGAATCAGAAGGAAATCATCCTCACGGCTACAAAGGATCGTTAGATTGTCTCTCCAACAATGCTGTAATTTTCAGCGATATAAGCGGGAGATGCTCCGCAGTGCAAGATCTACTCAACGATCGTAGTTTTTATGAAGGAAAATCCTATTTGATTCAATATCTTATGTATTTGTTAACGTTGAATCTCTATTGTAGATGTCGTATGACTTTTAATTAATAAAATATTTTTGCTATTAAAAAAAAAAACTGATTACGAATACCTTATACGAAGTATAAAATAAAAGAGAGAGAATATAAAACACCAAACCCAACTATAAATAGACATATTTTTATATACAAAAGGAAGGTATTATCTGGTCATACAACAGGAAGAGGGAAGATACAAAGGGGCAAACTAAATAGTCAGCTCTCATCATGTATAGGACACATGAAGTAGAGGAGACCAGCTTCCTTAGCCTATTTAACCTATTTAATTTCTTGACGAGGAAAGTAACAGAGACCCTCCATGACAAAACATAAGCTGTAAAACAAAACTAAACTACAACAGACAGCAGAGAGTCAGTAATTCCCCTTTATATGCTGCCTACTAGCTTCATCCATATTCCATACCATATCACAACTGCTTACTATCAACTTTTCCCCTCTTCCTTGATTCCCTCTTTTCTTTACTGCAGTTTGGTTGTCTATTTTCTATCATTATTTTGACTTGAGCTAGGGTGATTTTTCAATTTCCTCTCAAGATTGCAGGATAGCGAAAGCTAGCAACTTGGTCCCACAGCAGATGACTGCTCCTCTGAGGCAGCAGGCATTTCAGCATCAGTATAGCCTGGTTTTGCTTCCTCTTCAACACTGATTTTACTCTTAGGTGAGAGACGCTTGACTTCTTCAGATGTGTAGATGAAGATTTTTCTGACCATGCTGCAAAACTCCCTGAAAACAAAAGGACTATCAAGTCAGAAGCAAATGTTTATAATAACACACCTAACACACCAAATATTCAAATTGTTGGCTGATAAATTCTACTTAGGCCAAGGCTTTTTATTTATTCCATTTTGTCAATGATTGGTATGTCCATATGGGATTGGGGAATCTGCATCAGGAAATATTCTTATCTAACTTACTGCCATGGATCGTCTCCAACCATCATCATGTCATCCTCATCATCTGTGTAGACAACCTGCCATTTCCCTGATGAACAACAAAGCTCCCCTTTAATATCAAACAGCTGCTCCAGTTTGTTAAGGAGGTCATTATAACAGTCAAAGCGAGTCAGATCTACTGCCCTCCCAACAGCCACACCTTGCATATGAACCTGATATAATACCATTAACAGCAATATTAAATACATTTCAATATATCTGAAAAAGCTAGTGGAGATGTAAAGTCTCCATGTTCCACCTTTGTTTCCCCCTTCTTTTAGGACAACGTAAACAATTAATGGGCAAAAGGCTTACCATCTTAAATTCTTGGTTTATAATGGCAAATAGCTTACCAAAAAAAAAACAAATAACAAGTTTCTCTTGGAAAAAATACAAAAATAAGATTAATGGTTCTATAATTCTAAGAATTCCGAATTGAATATTTTAATGCAAAAGTACAAACTATGTTAAAAGTGCCTCGCAGTATCAGAAGCTCGTACACTATGATCAACAGAAATCTGGCTTACAATGGCCTTGTAAACAGACAAATTTTGATACTTTGGACCTTTGGTCATGGAATCATCATCATAGTTACTACTACATAGTATTTCAATATTAAACATTCCTTATCCTAATGACCAAAACTCTTTCACCCAATATTAAACAAGATTCCAAATAAACAACACCAAGGTAAAACAAAAGCTAACTTCACAATAAACAACAAAAAGAAATCAAATAGCAAAAAGCCCAAGGTATAACAGGGAACCATAAAAACAAACAGACCACCTCACAAATAATCTAAACAGTGCACATTTGACTGCAACCCATGCATCTCTAACTAGCACAGAAAGAGAGCTATACTTCAAGGAGTGTCAAATTAGAATTTACAAGGTTCAGTTTAGCCCCATCACACTCTGAAATGTTGTCTTTTTAACCACTTTCAAATTCAATAAGAGGCGGCTCAGTAAAACGGCAAAACAAGGACACTAATGAACTATTATCATATTTATCAATGAGAAAACAGTTACCTTTGTGCATGTACGGCTTGGCTTATTCAGAGAAGTTTTGTCAGGATCACAACTCAGGGAAGGTACATCAGGTCGATTAACATTGGATCTATCAGATTCAGCTTCCAGAGATGGAACAGGTTGATCCTCACCACCCCTGGTAGAAGTTTCATCCAAATTGGAATGATCAAAAAGCTGAATTCCAAATAAACGGCAGCCAGCTCCACTACTCTTTCTCTTTTCGCCAGATTCTTTGTTTACAACAGAACCAAGCGACTCTGATGCATTTTCTGCTATATGGGACCAATAAATGGAATGGCTGGATAGCACAGGAAGGGAACTGTTTGCGGTGAAACCTACTGAACCAGCCTTTGTCACAGAAGAAAATTGATCACGGGTACGGTCGACTTCAGCACATGCAGCAGCAGGAGATTCAACCAGAGACTTCCAGATTCCTAACAGAACAAGAAGAATAAAGATAAATAGAACACTGTATGTAAAAACATTGACCCAAGCAAAAAAAAAAAAAGAAAAATACCCAGTGCAGACAAATCTGTCGCTGACGATGGCATCACCGCAGGTCGTGACCGCTTATTCCTTTGAGTAGGCTGGGAGTTGCTAGAATTATTTGCTACTAGCGGTTCCAATTCCCAAGGGGAAACTCTCTCTGGGCGCATAATTGATGAAGGTTCATCCCATTGAACCTGCCAAGGGATGCATCAGATATAATGTAGCACTTTATGACACTCGAAACAACTCAGTCAACCTTGAAAACAAGTACTATTTGGTACTAGTAAACTCCTCTCACTAGCCTCAAGTTAAAATTGATGTGTATGTGTAGCAGGAGAATATCTCACACTTTTACATGACTGCAAAATTATTTAAACAGCACTATATGTGTTATTCTCAGGAAAGACCTATACCTTCAAAGATCTCCATTCAGAGTTGGCCCAACTTGATGATGAAGTATCATTGACACCAACAATTGTGCCACTGAACCTGTCAGATTACAGAAGCAAGCAGATAAGCAAGTAGATATAGTAAAATATAAGGCAAGGCCCAGCACGATATATACCTTCTCTCAGGAACTTCATCACCTTCGAATCTCATTTTGAACCTCATCCCAACAGAAAGCTTGTGGCTCTTGGCCTCAAGGTACTTGTTCACACTCACAAGGAACTCAGACCTACTAGTTCTGTCACAATAAAGCCCCTGTCAGAAATTTATGTAAACGGAAACAAAGAACTATGGAGTCCAATGATCAAATAATACACTTCATCCTTTTCACAAAATTGCAACACTTTCAAGATGCACAATGTTTTGAGTAACAAGAGAGAATGTATAAGGGTTGTTAACCAATAAAAATATAGAATAAGTATAGTTTAAATGTTATAATTTAAGTGATGGACAAAGTGCAAAATACATGCACTATGAGACCCCTACAAACAAAAAAAACAAACAAAACAAAACAAAAAGAGAGAGAGAGAGAGAGAGAGAGAGAGAGGTAAATCCCAATTAGTTTAAAAATTTATCTCTGCTTATCCATAAAAAACAAGTATGAAGTAATACAGGTTAATGACTGCTTCATTTAAAAAAAATGAAAAATAAATATAAAGAGAAACGGTTTTTGTATCCAATACTGTTCATACTGTATAAGATGTCTGATTTATTTTTAAAAATGTAACCAGAGCAACTAGCATGCTGCACCAAGTTAGAGAGCTACAAACACCAACAAATAGTGATTTTTGCTCTGTTGGAGTGTAGGAGTTAAGTGCCTAACAGCTATCTATATGCAGCATCACAAACATATAAAGGATCAAAAGTGAAGAAGGAAAAAAGTTAAACTAACACAAACAAAAAAGAATGATAACATCACCTAACAATATTAAAGGCAAAATGATCAAATAGGTGGCATCAAGACATAAGCAGCCATCAACAGAGAAGCTATCCTAGTTTCTAGACTCAATTACCAAGGAGTGGGTCCATTATGTATTCCTAATAGATGTCAGCTAATGATTTCACACATAACATAAACCTTTATTTAAAACTGCAACAAAATGGATGGGCATGCTATGACTAGAAACTAGGATGTACAAAATAAAATTAAAATTTCATGAACCTTGGCTTGTAGAAAACTGAAAATAAGGTTCCAGTTTGAATTGCATGGGCTGCTGTGGCAAGGACACCAAGGTGCATGCTATGACTAGAAATAACAGAAGACGGCATATTGTTCAACTGCCTCATTACCCTCCTTACTCCAACACGCAGTTCTCCATTTTCACCTCTGTCAATAAGTAAATAGGACAGATAAATTTGGTATTAGAAAGTCAAGTAGAAGGCATTAATATATCTACTTTTTAATTCTAATATTTAATTCCAAATATGGTGTTTGGGAATAACTAGAATTTAAATTTTAGAATCAATTCATCGTGTTGTTTGGATAGACTAGGATTTAACTTTCACATTTGGATTTTTCAATTGGAAAAAAAAAAAAAGTAAAATGCCAATAACAGTCGTCGTCCTTCCGAACATTGCGAACTCCAATTGCTCAACAATGGCGATGCAACACTGAGAACTCCAAGATAAGTTCAACAATGGCGATAAAGTGTCGAGAACTCCAATGGCGCCGAGAAAAAAGCAGCAATATCGCCTTGTACCTGATCGTGGTCTTCTCGTTAAACATTGCCGTTTTCTTCGATGAAATTAACTAATTAAGATTAAAATTCATCATCACTGGTTCATCGGAAAGTGAACACCCTACTTTCTTCCAACGACTAAGGTTGAAGCGGTGGAGCCAGGAGGAAGAACATTTATATAGCAGAAGAGAGGAGAGAGAAAATGTGAGTAGCTTTCATGTAAAAATAGAGAGAGAAAATGTGAATAAATTTCCTGGAAGTTGAAGGTGAATAGATAGTACATCACTTGGAATTGAAATAGCATGGTTTTAAGATGGATTTCAAATTCTTTGGTTAGAGCTACTTTTGATAAGGCTGTGGAATTGAGCCAAATTCAATTCCAAATGCTTTGAGTTTCCAAACAGCTAAATTGGGACAAATCCAGCATTTGAAATGAAATGACAATTCGCAAACAAACCATTAGAGATTTTACCTCAAAAATATAAATGCATCCCCAGCAACTAGCTTCTTGGAACTGACAAAAACACTCCATCCCGTAGTCAGTAGATGGCGTCTTGGTTGCCCTGCATAATATCCTTAAAGATAAGCAACTTTTGCAGATTCATAACTTGGAGTCCCATGAAAGCCAAGAGCAGCAAAACTGATTATAGAGTAACAAATAAACGATCACTCCGGTATATGCAGACTGTACAAAAGCATTAAGAACAACTGTGGTACCCATCAATACCTTAAGGAAGTAAAATCATGGTAACACATCATTTTCAGCCATACATGTCTAGAAACCTACTAGCAGTAGAAATTTTAATCTGTGTGATACTACGGCATCTTGGTTCATCGAATTGCCAAGTTGAAACTCATGTAATAGCACCATAATAGCACAAAGATCAGGTAAGTAATCCAGCACATCATATTAAGGTGATACAGATGAGAAGCGGAATTTTGAGTTTGTCAAAAGGATTTCATTCCTATTAAGCAGCTTCTCAAGCTTAGCTTCAGGGCTATCAAGTTCTTCCTAGCAGAGCTTCTACTTTAGAAAGGACTGCCAATACTTCTGATCAGTGTATAGGCAAAAGGTGACATGCACCTTTTTCTTCCAGATAAAGGCAATTTTTATGTTGTGCACAAATTGTTTTTCACCAAATTTTGTTCTTTTTATTTATTGCATTTCACTTCAATGAGGCACCAAAGGCACAGACCTTTCTATACATTTCTTCTGATGTTCCAGGCATTTCCCTTGGTCTTTGTTAAAGAAAGTATCAACTAACATACTTCCCAAAAGAAGTATCAACTAACATACTTCTTTTTATTCATTGCGCCTCAATTCAATGAGGCGCACCAAAGGCACAGACCTTTCTATACATTTCTTCTGATGTTCCAGGCTTTTCCCTTGGTCTTTGTTACAGAAAGTATCAACTAACATACTTCCCAAAAGAACAACTAGGTACAAAAACACATTGTCAAAAAATACAGGTGTGCTCACCTCGAAAAATGTGACGGAAATGCCACTCACTACCATGGAGATCTGTAGCCACAAGCTCTTGCCAAGGTGGTTGCTGAGACATATCCTGCAGAGTGAAGAAGTTCAGCATCAAAAGAACAGAATAAAGGAAAAGGTATTATAAACACCAAATTGTCCATCTTCCCCTTAGAAAGATGTTAATACTGTTTTTTTTACTAAGCAAACTAACAGCAAGATATAGACATTCATATGCACCTTTACTTAATATCGTCAAGAGAACCTACTTTCCTATAACTTTTTTCATTAAACAACGGGGTCCTGAAAATTACTAGATTGAACAGAAAAGACTAACCAGGGGTGGTAAGCAATCATCTGCATGCCTCCGGAGCACAGAGAATCCACCATGTGTGCTAGTATCAGAAGCTGTTAATGTCTTGCAAAATGAATGCACATTGCACCTTGGAGGATCTGCCACTGGTTCATCAGGCGTTGTAATCTCACTTTGCTGGGAAACAGGATGACATTTAATTTTAGATAAACATTGATAATTTTGATAAGATAAACATCAATACTCACATAGCTGAAACAGACTAAGGTTATATAGCCCAAAATAAGCAGCAAAATAAACTTGCAAATCAAATTCCTATTGCTCGTGATAACAATCACAAGATGTAGATGACCTGTGAATCTTGTCTATATATTGTGAGAGTGAGAGATAATTCAAAGAGAAAGGAGTTGAAATAGAGACTCACATCTCTTTCAGGAACCAGAGTTATCTGAGCATAAACTTCATCTGTTTCAGGTTCAGCCTATACAACAAACATCAAACCAATTTCATCACACACAAATCAAAGAAGCCTTAACAAAAGGGGAGAAGTGTATAGACAAAAGCATCCAGCAATCACAGTGATGGTAACAATACAAACCCGAAGTTCAATATGAGCCACTTTGCAAAGTATTTTAGATGGCAAATTAAATGAAGGCATCTGCTGTTCCAATCCCTGATGTGTTGATGCTTCAAGCTGTAGATTGAAAAGGGTTATTCACATCAGCAGAATAAAAATGTATAAATCTTTATGAAACTTCTCATTTGACCCTATATATATATATATATGTATGCCCATCAGTATCTCACTTTTTCACACATATAACTTTCACCCTCATGTCTCTATTCTTGTGCTCTAAAATAGAAGCCATGGTTTCATTACCCTCTTTATCCCTGACATTCTCTCTCTACCCTCCTGAATTTTCTATCTCCACTAGGAAGGCCACTTCCAACAAACCAGATCTAAAATATGACTACCACAAATGGAAAAAAAATGAGTTGTATATCATCGCCAACAAAATTTAGAGACCAAACACCTGAACTAAATTTGTCGCTGCATCTTGATGCTTGTGGCTATTGATCTAATTCCTCCCACTGACACAACTACTTCACCGATTAATAAGACTTGATTGCTAACAGAGGTGGTGGGGGAGGTTATCCTGAGTGCTACATGCAGGGAAGGTGTCTGGCAGAGTAGGAACAAAAGCCGAGAAGACTTTGTTTTCTTCAATGTTAAAATGTAATCTGAAAATTTATATTTAGTGGCTTGATGTTTTACATTTCTTTCTTCCCAAAACACAGCGTCATTTGTTATTTTTCAACAAAAAGGTGAACATTTTTTTTTACAAAAACTACAAAACTAAATGATGCCGAACACCCCCCTCCAAAAAATACATGTAACCAGTAAAAGTAGTCGGTAGTAATCATCACATCAGTTGTAAAATTGTAATCAATAAAAATCAGTTGTATAAATACAATAAGTAAACTCATGCAAAAATAACACTAGTGAATAGGAGTGTACAGAAAAAGACCATACTTGAATTCAATCGATGTCACTATCTTTGGTAATAATTTCCTATGAATTCATTAGTTTGGTATTGAATAAAATGTTAGTTGTCATAACTTTTTTTTAAAAAAAAATTTATGATAGAGACATAATTTGTCTCCAGCCATTCTAAGTTTCAAGTAGCAAACCTTATCAAAGACTCATACACAATTATTTGTCTGCCTCTCTAAACTTCAGCATGCAAACAAGTTAAAATAAGCCCTCCCCTCAGCCACCCCCCCCCCTCTCTCTTTTCTCCCCAGCCCAAAATTAAAAGACAGATTTAAAGTTACTTCATGAATGAACAATAAAAAAAAAAGAAGACATTCAATTATATTTTTAATTAAAGAGTAGCTTAAAAGAGCATGAATTCATATTTGAATTGTTCTTAAAACTGAGGGAGAGTACATAAATTGTACAGAAAGTTCATCAATGCAGCAAGAAATCCAGAGTTTTGAACAATAAATTAGAATTAAAAAAAAAAAAATAGATCCACCTACCTGCTCCATGTGACCTTGAGGAAAGTAGTAAACACGCTCCCCTTGGCGGGGAACATTTACAAGGGGTCCAGCACAGGCATACCAGAGTTCCTTGTACAAAGCATCTGTACAAGATTTGGCATGAAATTAAAGACAGGAGGGAAAAATAAACGTGATTTATCAGGCAATCACAAGAAACTAGACAGCAGCATTAAAAGTATCCAAGCTGCTTCCAGAACTTGAAAAGCAGAGCCAATTTTTCCAACAATAAATCAAAATGTGGACAGAGTAGGATAGAAATTTTGGACCCAAAGAAATTTTGACAATCAAATGCACCAACCAAGCCCATGTAACTAGTGTTCAACCTGATATTAAAGAATTAGACACCAATGCCACGATTATCCACCAATAAACCACCCACTAGGCACCAAAATTTCAGATGAAAAAAATCACAAAGTTGCTTTTCCACATAGCACAAAATAATTAATGGTTAGAATGTGATAAAAAAACTGGTATCAAAAAAGCATATTTATAGATGATTTAGTAAGTATTATGATAAACAAATAAAAAAAGTACATGATTTATTTGTATTAGATATAACATAAATCAATGTCAAAAACCAGACCAAAAAAATACATCTTATCTATCTTTTAGGTCTTGGTACCAGATGAACTTCAGGAAATTTCTATCCAAAAGAACCCTTTATGATAATTACGGAGTCATCCAAACCGGAAACACACATTATACCCCATAAATGCTCTATCTAGTATGGTTTTAAATAAGATCTAAAACTTGATATCGGATCTGTATACAAGTAAACAACCAAATCTTTGTTTTAAACATTAGAAACATTAAACTGATACAGGTCGTTGACAGTATCACACAAACTTGACAAGTAAAACTCTAAATTAGAAAGAAGACAAAGGGAGGTGGTTGACTGTAACACAGAAACTTGACAAGTAAAACTCTAAATTAGAAAGAAGACAAAGGGAAATGGTAAGAAATATTTTCATTAATGCACAATCCAACATTAAAGACATAAGTCTAAACCGAATTCAGAAAAATGAACTATTCAAAAATAAGATGAGCTAAAACTTCCATATACAAATTTCACACGTATAAAAGCATATATTGAGAATTAAATTAAATATCTTGAGTGCCTTTCTATTTGCCTAAAGTGGCTAAAACATCAATTGTGCTTATTCATGTACCCTATAGGATAAGCAAAATTCATAGTACACAGACTGAAAAAGAAAAACAAATCGAACCTTGCTCTGCCTGTCCAGCAGACTGATGAATGCCTTGGAGCGCCATGAGAAGCTACCGAGAGTCACACCAGATCACCCTATTTATAATAAGAATTCCTTCCTGAGGTTGTGTAATGTACAACTTGTTACTGCAAAACGTGTAAGTGACGCTGTGAAATGTAGAATAGGTCACTCTGACATATTAAACATGAGTACAGCCAACAGGTATTCTAGTAGAGTATTAGACAAGTGTTCTCGAATCACACTTACTAATCAAATTGTGAGTGATTAACAGTAGTTAATTATTACTATACTTTTGACACATGGCACAATTAAGATGATAGATATATTGCAGGGATTAGACTAGGAAATTAACATATTAGACAACATTGTATCCTTCTAGATTTACGGAATTAATCACAATTGGCACCATTGATCCAATTCAAGTCTAACAAGCAATGCAGTTTTACATTTAAAGATCAGTAAGCTTTACCGGGGATCCGGAATCAAACTTCTGTCACATGCTTTGTATTTCCATCCTCTTCCCCCCCCCCCCACCCGTTACTCAAAACAACTTCCCTGACTTTGAGGCCTTGAATGGCCCAAAGGAAGTAATAATTACAACTGGCTATTATACCAGGGTAGCAAATAATTCGAGAAGAACTATTCCAACTGAATATATTCTTCAAGACTCCTCCGATATTAACTACACACAAAACTAAATTGAGATATACACTACCTCCAATTCAAAATAATAGGCAAAGCCATTTTTATTGTCACGTTTACTCTATAACACCTAGTAGTTCATAAAAATCCCCGCCCACCATCACTGAGCTTTATATCATTTGTGGCCATTGTTTATATATAAGTATGCTTTAACTAGACAAAAATGAGTTTTCACTCCGTACTATATATAGGTCTTGTTTGGCAAAAATAGCGGTAGCAGGTAGCTTTTAAGGCAGCGAGTAGCGGTTAATTAGTAATGGATAGAGGTTAGCTGTCAAAGTAACTGTTAATAGCATGAGTGTTTGGCAAAAGTAGCGGTTGCAATACCAAAATATACCAAAATTCATATAAATATTGTTTTAAAAGTAAAAAAAATTTCCAAACGCTACTCGCTACTTCTAAACACTACTATTTTTAACGTTTGAGAAAACCTACCTAAACGCTATCTCTATCGCTAACCGCTACTAGAATCGCTACCTTGCCAAACAATCTTAATTTTTTTTCTAATAGTGTTTTGAGTGGTCAAAACGCTAACCGCTACCTCAAACGCTAGCACCAAGGGCCATAGTCATACTCTTTAAGGAAATGCATGAGAATTACACAAGCAAACAGATAAAAAACACACTGATTTGAACAATACAGAATGTGCAAATTCAATAACCTATAAAAGACAACATACATCACTCAAACACGGGTGAATGGAGCCCATCAATTCGAACACGTAAAATCATGACATATATATCAACCATACATTGTTTATAAAAACCCCTTGTAATATCACAAACAACTACTTAGATCAACAATAAAAGTTCACTTTGACATTTGCAACTTTCATCAAGGTTAACATCAAATCCCAGTAAATTTCATCATACCCCAGTAAAATCCCATAAACACCCATTTCCCAAATACTTTTAAAATAAATAAATAAATAATAAAACCAAAATTCAGCACTAAATTCAACTTTAAAATAATGCTACAGATTCTAATGAAATTAATTGCTACAACTAAGCTAAAAGATCAAAAACTACATACCTCAACAAAAGGAGGGCCGATCTGAATTAAAATTAGATCAAAATGACCCATAAATCAAGCTCCAATTTTAATAAAATATTAAAAATAAAAAAAAAATAGGATACAAGTACTAAAATCAGCTATATATCTCAGATATTCAACTAAATAAGCAAAAAATATATATAAATTTGAGGGAATATAAAACTTACGGGAAATTAGGTAGAAAAAAAAAATAGGTTTTTGAGAAAGAAAAAAAAAATAGAGGACGGAGAAAATGAAGGAAAAAAGAAGTGGGTATGGGGGGAATTGGGAGGTAAAAGGGTTGTCTGCAGGAAAGAGATGTGGATTTGGATCGTCTTTGCCTGGTCGAAGCCGACAGCTCCTTCCCCTCCCTTCAATTATTAATTTATTTTACTATGTCAATTATTACTTTTTTTTTTTTGCATAGGTTTTTTTTAAAAAAAAAATTGTTAAATATAAAAATTGTACAAAGTAATCCATACCACAATAGTAAAATTAGTAAAATCAACGATAATTATATTTATTTGAGTTTTCATGAATCTAAGCCTCTAAGGTGTGTTATATGGGTAGTTTCCGGGGATGCTTACTAGGAGGAGTCTCTGGTAGCCTATGTCTCTTGCATACTTTAACTCCTCGCTATAGTATACACCAACAAAATCACCCGTGGGGAAGAGAAGTGTACCATCTTTTCCCCGAACGGGGAGTTATTTTGCGAATTTAAAATTAGACTATTTGAATAAATGTGTGATTTTTTTAGTATTAGAAAGAAAGTTTTTTTTTTTTACTTCTTTATCTTCGTTCAATGTGTTATATGTGAAAAGGTTTAAATGTTCGGAGTAAGTTAACAATTCAAACCGACATGTTTTTTCGAATGAACAATGTATTAATGAGGTTTGAATATTTTTAAATGGTAGGAACGAAGAATTATCATGCAATGCGTGATGTGTTGGCCAGTTTTTAGAGAGGGAGTGGGGTGCAAGTTTGGTCCCCCCTACTCCAAATGTCCTCACCTAACCTCTCATGTGAGTTTGACACTTGTTGATTTATTAGTAGATTGATTATTTTTTTTATTTTAGATTTAAAATAAAATGGAAAATCAAATCTCCCACATGGAAAGATGATGGGAATTTTGGTGAGCCTTTGCCTATTAATACCAACCTTGGGAGTTGGGATTCTTCACTTGAGTAAGTGTTGAAAAAGGCATCACAGTGTGCAACCTTTGAACACAAATATTCGGGTTTTGGTCGGGCCTTGCTATTTCCAAGGCAATAAACCGAGTTTGGAGCTCGCGTTGCGGGTGGACTTCGTAGGAGGTCTCCGTGTGAGTGGAGCTAAGGGACTTCCGAAGTAAGAGCTCAATTAAGTGAGCAAAGCAAGCTACAAAGATAATAATCTCTTGCTTAGTCTTGTGTTTATGTTAATTATGCTTTATGGTTATAATTATTATGTGTTTGGTTTTGGGTCGGGTTTCTTTTTGCGGTGTGTCAGACTCACTGAAACCCAACACAACTCACACCAAACGAATCCACCTTCGCAACCCACAATAGAGCTGCCGTCACCGCTGCTTCTTTCTCCCTTGCTAACCCTCGATCAACCGCCAGCAGCCCACCTCACACACCAATCCACAATCCAACTTTTCGCTACCAATCACAAACAAAGCCACCCGCAACTCCACCAAACATCCACAAAACAATTGCAGTCCCTTAATCTCCACGCTGCTAGTTTGCAGCCATAATCCGCATCATATATATATCATTCGCCCACTCCCATGCTCCTATTTCCGCCAATCGAAAACAACAATTTCAACTATTTTTTCCTAAAATCAAAGCAAATCCAACTTCAATCGGGTTTAGGCAAACTTTTGAAAAGTTCGGTTAAAGTGCCTAAAAATGCTAAAACAGTCAGAATCATTCGAAGTTTTCTAATTTGAAGAGGAGTGGCGAGACACACCCATGGTTTGACCGAACACACCCATAGTTTGGACACACCAACCTTCGGTTTGATTGAAAATTTCACGAGCTCTATGTGTGATTGTTAATGAAGATCGAATGGTTTTGAACTGTTGATTTGATGCTCGATGATAGACGATGAGGATGAGCGGTAGCGATTTGATGATGGTGATTGATGATGAAGTTTGGCAGTGATTGTATCACGAGATTAAATCCCCATTTAGAGCAGCCACAATAGAAGAAGAAAATGGTATGTTATTTAGGGGAAAATTATAGGTTTATTATTTTCCTTTTTCCTTTTATTTTATTTCTCTTTTCTTATTTACTTTTCTTTTCTTAATTTATTTCCTTTTCTTATTTCTATTTTCTTTTTTTTTTATTTATCTTTTCCTTTTATTTTATTCTTTTATTTTTCTTATTTTTCCTAGCTTTGTATAAATGCCCATTTTTGGGGTAATTAGAATAACTATTTTTTTTCTTAATTAGTTTTAGGAGAGCTCTCTCTCTCTCTCTCTCTTGGTTTAGATTAGGATTAGAGTAATTTAGAGAGAGAAAGTGAGGGTTTCTCCATTGTTGATCTTGGATTTTGAAGAAGAAGCTTAATTAACCTCTTTGTAGACCTTCAACTTTAATTAATGAGAACCTCCTTACTCTTTTCTCTTTATTTTGTTATTTAATTAATGTTTTAGTTGTTAGTATTGCTTGTTAATCATGTTGATGCTTGGTTAAATTAATTGTTAATTAATCTTGTTGTCAGCATAATTAGTGAGTTTTTTCCCCATTAAGGGGATGGTTGTTGTATAATTGGATCTTGAGCATATTTTAGGGTTTGGAGTTGATTTGTTTATGATTAAAATCTTTATATGCTTGATGTTCTTCAATCTACTTGCACAATGCATGTTGTTAGTTGATTGAGGGTGAATTATTGCTTAATGATGCGATAGCGGACCTAGCAAAATTCATTTGTGTCGACTATTATTTGATTGACCTCCTAGTATATGGTTCTGATGTGACAACATAGAGGCTATGTTAGGAGAAGCAATTGACCCCGATAGTTGGCTAGATTGGACCTTACTTCGATATTCAAGCATGTTTAGTTCATGATTAATTCAAATTCTATGCCCTTTGCTATGCTTGAGTGGATGCTATGCCTAAACTGTTTCCCCTAGTGTTCTATTTCTTGTTTTAGCATCTTTAGAATTTAGTTTACTTATCTCCTATTTTGGAATAGCTTAGTTGTTGATAACATTTGGTGGTGTTCATTCATTCCATGTGGTTCGACCCCTATGCTTGCCTTATACTCGTATTAGGTTTGTTTATGTTGTATAAGTTTTATTTGATTTATGGATAGCCATTTGACGACGTGTTTATTCCCTTATCAATCTTATATTTATACAAGTTAGTCTTTGTTTTGATTTTCCTTATAACTTTAGTAGTAATAGTTGAAGTGCAGCAATGCTAATATAAAGATGCAAGATGAAATGCATTGTAACGTATCATGGTTGTTTAAGCAAAATGAAGGAATTTGAACTACTTATGCTGTAGTTCAGCTAATTAGAGGTGTATTCTAGCCTCAATTTATTGGTTTTGTTTAAGCGAAAAAAACCCGAGGAAAGCATATCAGTAACACCCCAATAATTCTCTCTTAAAAACCTGTGAATAACATGAACAATTCCAAGAGAATTACTGACGTGCTACCGCCACGTGTTCAAACGTTAAGGCTTTTTCAGAAAATAGCAGCGGAAAAACTAAAATAAATATATATAAGTTTCAAAACCAATAACCAAAACCAAATTAAATCTTACAACTTGGAACCCTTAATGCCCTTATTCAAAACTGAAACCAATAGAAATAGTATAAAAGCAAATAAAGTTGAATTTAAATAACTTTAATTGTAAATAGTAAATAAAATAAGAAAAGCAACCAACTCTTCACTCAAGATCCCACCATCTAGAAATAGATGCTGCATGTGTAAGAACCTGTGGTTAATCCGCTCCCCAATATTACAAGTGTAAAAATTGGATTGTCACAGGGTCATTGAAAGGCGAAGGCCATGACCAAAGAAAGACACACACAAAAGCACGCAATCAGCAAAGCTGAGTACATACAAGCTGCGAAATAAATTAAGAAAATACCTAACATTCTACTAATAATCAAGAATAAGCATCATTAAATACAGACTCAACACATGACTCAATTATCAAATTTATTAAGACCTCACTAGTTAATATTAACTAACTCATTTATTTATTTCATTGGATTTAGCAATAGACAAGATTGTCCAACCCATGTCCCATTTGGAACATCAATAAAAGAAAAACCCCATGCCTCCTTTCGGAAACATCAATAAACATCCAACGACCACGGGCGCGACTCCGTGACTGTAGTTAGTATGAGATCTCACCTAACTCCTAATTTTAGAAAAATAATATTTGAAATAGGAGACTCGTAGATCAGACGGCCTCGATAAAAGTACACGGCTAATACCCCATGTACCCCAACCCCTGATTGTCATTACCCAGATGTGCACCATTCCAGAGTTTTATTGCTCATCCATCTTGCACTTTACGTGATTTACAGGTTTAGACTTGGTGACGACTCATATACATTACAATACAAACATTCCAAACACAATTCAAACAAACATGGCAAATTCTCAATTTAAATTCTTGATTTATTAGTGACAAACAACATTTATTAGTTATTCCTTTACTACCTCGGTGTATAAACACCTTGAGTGCATAAGGCACCCCAAAACCTTAACCTCGTCTTATAAGACTTAAATCCTTCCTTTACTCATCCTGTTTGCATAATCATGAATGAGTAATAAATTAATCTTTACACCAATCACATACCTTTGCCTCTAAGCGCACCTTGCATAATTAGAGCACAAATAATACTTGCAATATAAAGTATTGCACATCATTTGAAATTCACAATGTATAACCAAACAATTTAACCCAGTTAATCCTATACATGATACTAAGTTCTCGATCCATCCTTAAACATGCACCTACAAGCAAGGTTTCGTAACTTGTACGTACCTTGTGTAAACAATTCGGTTGGCCACTTAAAAACTAGAAATCACCTTCAATAAACTCCTCTCCTAAACCAAATAATAACATCTCAATCAATACCCAATCAATCAAATTTACAGCAACATTAACTTACTTTAAAGTAAGTTACGAAACAACACTTTAAAACCTTCTCTTTAGTTAAAATTAAAGGCTTATATATAGTTCTTTAAATTTTCTTCATAAAAACCTTAAAATACACTCTTATACATGAAATTACAGCGAGTTCAAAGTCTAATAAAAATCTGAAAATTATTTAAAAACCCCTAATAATCTCCCTTTTTAATGAGTGATTAAACCCTCTTCATAAAACATCTAAAGTAATACTTAGAAACTATTTTCAACACTTAAAACTTCAATAAAAACATATATTTATGCT